GATGTACATATAAATATTTTTATAATTTGAATTTCTGCTGTCTGTTTGCAATGTCTTTGTGCCAAATATTATTTTATAGATATGCCACAAAATTTTAAATTGCATTTTTTCAATCTGGCTCTCGCTGAGACTTCTTTGTGGCTAATTAATAATAAATAAATGAATTTACTACAAACATTTTGTTTTATCTTTGCTCTCTTCGTTGCAGATGCTGTGCGTGGTCCTGATATCGGTCGGTGTCATTACTCTCGGCGGTGCCGGCTCTCCATTGGGTGCCTACACCGCCAGTCTCTTGGGTTGTCTAGTTTTCTCTCTCTGTACAGTGGGATCTTTTGCAGCTCTGAGAGAATCGCATTTGCTGTCTATGGTGGTAAGTATTTTGTTGATGCTTCAAATGTATACATATTTTGAAATTTAAAAATTAAATAATTTTATTTTACAATTACTGGGTATTCGACAGAGTTCAATGATTCTTTTTAAATAATTTGGATTTCATGATGGCTTTACAATATTAATTATTATACCCTCCACCTTAAAACAGAGGGTATATTAACTTTGTTATTCCGTTTGTAACATTCCTAAATATTCGTCGTAGACCCCATAAAGTATATATATTCATAACCAGCATAAAATTCTAAGTCGATTTTGGATGTCCCTCTGGATGAAATAACGATACAGCCCGATAAATTAACGTAGAGATTCAAAATTTGGGCAAACAATTTGTATTGCGTCAATGATGGTTGGTATTGTAAATGATACATCAGTCCAGGTTTTGATATAGGCGCATATAACGGTACCTCCTGATATTCGGTATTTTGTCCCATTTTTCCACATATTTGTCTAAAAGTTGGTATTTGTTGGTTATAATGGGTTCTAGCTCCGGTGGCGGAGCATAGTATAGGCCCCATATAAGGGTTTTGATGATTTTTGCCACATTTTTCCACGGATTTGCCTAAAAATTTGTATTTGTAGTTCATAGTGGGTTCTAGCAGTGGCAAAACATTGAATATTTAGATCCACGACATTCCTATAACGCACATATAACGATACCCACCGATACTCAGTATTTTGATAATCCTAGTCACATTTACCCACGAAATTTGGTTTTTTGATAAGTTGAACTGCATTATGGAAAAGGTCTTACTGGTATTTGTAGTTTAAAGTGGAAACCGTTTGAATTCAGATACTTTTATATAAAAATGTTTCTTTACCCAATAGGGAGGGTATTCCATATATCCAAGGAATCTTAATTCAAAAAACTTCATAACAAATGTGGAAGAGTAGAGGAACTTGCCCCTTCTATTTAGGTAACATTGCCATGCAAACTTCAAACCGCTGATACCCAAGTCTTCTATTCTTTGATCTACTTTCATAATCAGCTGTATTTTCCTTCTAATTATTTTTTGAAAGAAATACTTATATTGTGTACCCACTAAGAAATGTCGTTATGAGAAAGATCATTCTTAAGAGTATTGGTATAGGGTGATACCATGATCGGTGTTTTAGCCTTTTCTAAGTAGCTTTTTTAATATTGGTAAAAAATATGTGGTACATAATTTTATTTTTCAATTTTTTTTCTATTTCAGTTTGCGGGACTTGGCGTCTTTACTATTGTCTGTGAGACCATTTTCATGATTGCCTTTGCTGTGATGAAAGAAGATTTCATGGAAATGACAAAACAACGTGTCGAAGACACCTGGCAACAGGAGTTGGTTAAACCGGGTGCTATGCTAGATGTACAAATACAAGTAAGCAGAATAATATAAGAATAACACAGAATAAGAATAAAAACGAGATAGATTTGCACTTCAAACGAAATGTAGCACCGAAATGGGTGCCAAAATTTTCTCCAAGGACTTATTCAAAATTGTAATTTCCAATTTCCAACTTATGCCCACTTTTTATTTCATTTACAGTACGAATGCTGTGGCTTAAACGGTCAACAGGACTACCTAGAAAAGGGTGATAAACTGCCTTCCAGTTGCTGTTATTTGGGCGACTGTTCCGATAGTGATAATATATTTCCTAAAGGCTGTGAAGTTATGTCAATCAAATTCATTGACTCCCAGAGTGACAATTTAATTTTATCCTTAGTTGGCTTGGTGGCCTTTGAGGTAGGAGACTTTCGATCATTTTAATAAATGTTAATGACATTCAATTTGTATTTTTCAGGCACTTGGCATAATATCGGCTTACTATTTGGCGAAGGCTGTCCAGGCTCGGGGCGTTAAATCGGAACAAGCTGTTTTGGAATAAACTTTGTTATAGCGAATACGAATCTTGTTGAAACTTAAAATTGTTATCATAATTTTTACACTTAGAAGAGAAAATTGTCTCATTGTAAGAGACCCGTAGTTTCCAAGGTTTATTGATTCAATTCTTAATTACGTTTCAAAGTTTATAAATACAATTTTTTAATACTACTATTAAAAGTAGATCATTTTATTTATCGGTGTTCATGGCAGTGGCCCGAATGGCCATTGTACATTACTGAAGAGATGAATGGTGAGAAATTTGTCTTGTGTTGCGATATTTTATTTTAAATTCGAGAGAATGCAGTTGATCCATACATAAGGCGATTAAGGATAGGATATAATTCATTTGAAATTATTCAAAATCTAATTATTTACATTAATAGGCTATTTATACCCTGCACCACAAGGTGGTCATGGTATTATGTCTTTGTGCATTTGTTTGTAACAGGCAAAAGGAAACGAGATAGACCCATAGCTCCTTTTGATGATCTGCATAGAATCACATTCTGAGTCGATTTATGCATGTCCGTCTGTCCATGTATTTTTGTGAACAAAGTACAGTTCGCATTTATTGCCCTATCCAGATGAAATTTTGCACAAATCATTTGTTTGGCCCAAGGACGAACCCTTTAAAATTGTAGATAATCGGTTAAAATGTAGATTTAGCTCCCATATATGTCTTCGTCCGATTTGCCTTTTATTGTGCACCAAACGTATAATATCAGTCCGAATAGTATGGAATTTTGCACGTACGACCTGAAAATGAGTATGCCAAATTTGATCGAAATCGGTTCAGATATAGCTATAGTTACCATATATATTGTTCATCCGATTTATTATTTTTGTCCTACGCAGCCGTAATATGGACTCTGTAACAACAATATTTGGGGAAATATATCAAATACAGCTCAGAAATATTTTTACCAAATTTTATTGAGATTGGTTCCGAGTTGGATATAGCTCCCATATATATTTTTATCCGATTTCAAATTAATTGTGCACCAAATGGGCAATACAAGTCCGAATTTAAAAGATAAAAATGCTTCGGCATATTTTGTCCTTTGTCCTTTGAACATTAAATTATAATTATAATCATAGCGTGTATGATTGAATTCACCCATTAAAACGTTTAATTGTTATGCGGAGCTCTACTTAATTAGCAAAGTGGTGTAGGGTATCATAAAGTCGGCCCCGCCCGACTTTTATCTTGAGATAAGAAAAAAACCCAGAAAATGCATACATTAATTGAATTATAGTTTCATCAAAATATAGCAACTTATAACACCCTCAACCATACACCAACGGTACCCCCCGATATTCGATTTTAGGAGGATTATTCACCAGAGTTGTTTCAAATTTCGTATTTGGTGTTCGTAATGGTAATATAATCTATGACAGAAAATTGTCTATGCAGGTCCAGGTCTTCGTATAGGCCCCATACATCAGTACCTCCCTATATTCGGAATTTTGAAGATTTTAGGTACAATATTCTCCGAAATTGTTTTAAATTTCGTATTTGAAGTTACTAAAAGGTATTACAGCCTGTGATAGAAAATTGCCTATACAGGTCCAGGTCTTCGTATAGCCCCGATGTAACGGTACCTCTCTATATACGGTATTTTTATGATTTTATCTACATTATTAACCGGATTTTTTTTAAGATTTGTATTTTATTATTGTAATGGCTTATGACAGAATTCACCTACGCAGGTTCACGTTTTCGTATGGATCCCAATATAACGGCGACTTCCTATATTCGGCATTTTTAAGATTTCAACAGATTTTTTAACGGATTTTATTATTTTTTTTTTTTTGAAAATGTCCAAATTCGTTTCAAATGGTGGAGGGTATTAAAAGTTTGGCCCGTCCGAACTTAATGCTTATTACTTGTAAAACTTAAAATTTAATTTTGAAATCGGAAAAAAAACGGAGTACGAATTGATTATAGCATTCATGTGAATTGGTGGTTGTAAAGTTTATATCATAAACAAACCAAAATAGAGGGGGCTAGGTTCTACCTCTTTAAAATTGTTAATATTTAAGGATTAAGATCCCTCGGAATCCGTAATTTTCCATTGATTGATCTTCAGTATCCTCTGTAATGTTACAGCTGTCAATACGAGGATTATTTGGTCGAAGTCGCATTTAGGTGAGTTTCAAAGGGGTGTTTTTAGTCCTTTTTTCCAAAATATGGTCAAGAACTAACTTTCAGAGGGATCGTAGAAAGTGAAAACATTGTACAAAATGAACATTGTACTAAAAGCCAGGAATTCATAAATGTTAAAAAGACATTCTATGGTTCAAGCTGTACTTTACGTAAGTTTATGAAAAATTCTCCTTCAAAGCATTTTTTAGAAGAATGACTCATCAAATTTTAAGTCGGCAAAGAAATTCCTCCTTTTTTATGAAGTTTTCGAGTTAATGCATGAAAGTAATATAAAATCCCGTTATACGGAGAAAGTATGAAGAGAAGGAACATTCTACACAAAATTTTACTAAAAATCTTCGAGTGTAGGTTTAATGGTTTTTACAGAATTATATTCGAAATTTTCGAAGTTTGGACATAATATGATACTCCCTTCGAGAGGTATCGTGCGCACCAGCCAGCCAAAGAGACAACGGAGTTCTCTTTTTTGGTGTCGTCACAATAAAACATCGAAATCTCGAGGTTTTTTTAATGAAGTCTTTCGAGATTGCAGTGAACAAAAAACTTCTAAAAAGTATTGATTTTGATGATTTACTTACATTACTAAATTTTCTTGAATTTGAAATATAAAACTTCATTATGTTTCAAACCCCACTGGAGCTCCGATACAACGGTGTTTCTCTACATTTCAAGTTTCCGTGAATAGTCTTTTCAATCTTGGTTTTAACATGCCGCTTTTTCGGTATTTTGATGATTTAATGGGGTTCACATTCTATTTAAAGTTTTCCAATATATGAATCTACAAATCTATTCCTGCTGATACATATAGCGCTACTTACTGATGTTATGTATTTTGAATTTAAAGCCAGTTTTGCGATTGCCAGCCAAACTAACAGTTTTTCTAATGTGACTTGCTTGGAATTTCAGTAATGGAATGAAAAGAAAAAATAATTCACATTCTTTTCAAAACACACAATGTCAAAATGTAATTTATTTATATTTTGAAGTTATTTCATTCCCGGGCCTACCGACGTACGTCTTCAATGTTTTTAACCCCAAGAGTGTATTAAAGTTTTTTGTGATACCTTTTGTATAATATTGGTTCACCCATGGTACAATGATATCAAGGTAGGGCTATGATACCATATGATTTTAATTTTTTTATTTTCTTGGCCTAATATGTCATCTTTATTTGTTTATGTATGTGTTTTCTTTTCAATAAACAAAAAGTTGTTCAGAAAACATTCAAATTCGGATGTTTTCAAAATGTTTATTTCATCGTATGCATCGACAAAATCTAGAGTTTTTGTAGCGAAATAATCCTTTAGAGATATATAGAACCTGGTTTTGAAAAGAATTGTTGACTTTTCATTCAGTTTTCGCGGTTTTCAATTCTTTATTCAAAGTAAATGCAACAAGTTGTTTGATTTTTTTATTGTTTTGATACTAATTCTGACATTACAAGCCAAACAGGTAGACCTCTATACTTGCAATTTTTTCAAAGTTGACCTACCTTCTCTTCATTGTACCATGGGTTCACCGATGTAGCCAGAAATACCTTATACACTAATTTACCCAACCCAACAGAAAAAATAAGATTTTTGAAGCAAACTGCTCAGAAAATGTCTAAAAGGTTACCCGATTACATCGGTGTACTGGTTTCCTTAAAGATAACATTCGCCAAAAATTCTTTTAACATTTTAAAAATACCGAATATAGCCGTTATATTAGGGCTTGTACGACATGCACATACATAGGCATTGTTTGTCACAAGCCATTACCATATTCAATTTCGAAACTTGAAATAAACGGTGAATAATGTAGTCAAAATCATCAAAATATCGAAAATAGGGAGGTACCGTTATATGGGGGCTATACGTGCACTTGCACATACAATTTTCTGTCTCAGGCTGTAGTATCCATTTCGAACTTCAAATGCTATATATGAGGCTATAAGAAAACGTGGACCTACATGGCCCATTTACGAACTTAATCTGCCTACTGGCAAAATAAACATGTGCGCCAAAATTTAGCCTTCTATCTCAATTCGTTCGAAGGATAGCGTGATTACAACAGACAGACACACAGACGGACATGGCTAAATCGTCTTAGAATTTTACGCTGATCAAGAATATATATACTTTGTTGGGTCTAAGATCATTATTTCGATGAGTTACAAACGGAATGACAAAATGAAAATACCCTCCACAGTATGGTGGAGGGTATAAAAACGTAATCTTCCAAAATGGATTTGGACAAAAAAGGGACTTCCAAGATATTGCAGTGTTGTAGGGTATCACATGGTCGGCCCCACACGGCTATAGGTTTACTTAATTGTTTCGGCTTATTTTTAATTTTTGCATGATTAATATCTGTTTATGACGCACCAATTGTTTGTTTTGACAAACCAGCTTATTGTTCGCCAGCTTTTGCAGGAATTCCGACTATTTACTTTTCACAGTTTTCTTGCAAAAGAGAATACACTACATTACTCTCTCAGAAAGAAATTGTTGTACAATTCCTGCAGGAAAAATAACCAGATACACCCATGGTACAATGATATCAAGGTAGGGCTATGATACCATATGATTTTAATTTTTTTATTTTCTTGGCTTAATATGTCATCTTTACTTGTTTATATATGTGTTTTCTTTTCAATAACAAAAAAATTGTTCAGAAAACATTCAAATTCGGATGTTTTCAAAATGTTTATTTCATCGTATGCATCGACAAAATCTAGAGTTTTTGTAGCGAAATAATCCTTTAGAGATATATAGAACCTGGTTTTGAAAAGAAGTGTTGATATTTCATTCAGTTTTCGCGGTTTTCAATTATTTATTCAAAATAAATGAAACAAGTTGTTTGATTTTGTTATTGATTTGATACTATTTCTGACATTACAAGCCAAACAGGTAAAGCTCTATACTTGCAATTTTTTCAAAGTTGACCTACCTTCTCTTCATTGTACCATGGGTACACCTAATTCTGTGTGTGAAGAAGAAGAACAGAGTTGGCAGATGTATCCCGATTTTAAGCTAGATTTGACAATATTAGTTCCAATTTTAAGCCTCTCTAAAGACGTAAAGATCATATATTGTTGAAGGTAGGTCTACTAAATATGCGTAGTAACGTAGGGCATCATATAGGATACCCGACCTACGTCTTTTCCTCCTGGTTCCAAAGCCACCTCTGCTAAATATGTAGAGTGATAATCTTCTTCTATCTTCTATACATATAAAAATCAATTGTTGTTTGTTGGTAACGGAATCAGTTGGAAACGGCTGGACCGATTTGCATAATTTTTTGTACAAACGTTCGTCATACCCCAAGTTAGGTTTTTAAAGAAAAAAAATATTGACCACGCCTCCTTTTACGCCCACTATTACGATTTATATAAAATCTTTATATTTGCCAAAATAGTGAAGATATCGGTTTAAGTACTTATTTAGGGGCTGAGGAACGCGCCTACTTTTAAATCTATCTCTCTATATGTAAAAGAAAGTTGTGTTAGTTACTACTCTTATAACATAAAGACCGCCGGTCTGATCTTAACGATTTAGACAAATTCAGAATTGCCTCTTGGCAGAAAAGAATAAAATCCAAAAAAATTGCGTAAAAATGGGAAATTTGAACATTTTCATTTTGACTTTTAAAATGTACAGTAGTAATGTTTTATATTGCATATTTTTTCCATTTTGACTTACTATTTTCGAATGTACATTTGTAGTGTTTTTTTTTTAATTCTAATATGATGTGTAGGTTTTTTGGGTAGTATAAAGCCACAACGTATAAAACTGTTATTTATAGATTTTATGTATTTATTCGTAATACCCAATAAATACATAAAATCTATAAATAACAGTTTTATCCGTTGTGGCTTTATATGAAAATTCTAAAATCGGGAAAAATCGACAATTTTTCAATGGCATCGAATTTCAAAATAAAAGTACATTCTACCGACAAACTTCATAAGGACCTTTAAAATTTTGCCGCAAAAAAAAATCAGCGAACCGGTTAAAGATTCTTTTTCTTTTTTCTATATTGAAGTGTACATTTTTTTATTGGTTTGAATTCTGAATGAATAATATTAAAAATGAAATGAGGGCGCAATACGATGTTAAATGCTTTCTACTCCACGACCTACATCGTGCTTCAGCTGGAAGATGCGAACACGTTTAAACAAACAAAAATGACCGAAGAAGCGTTATGGGGTTAATTTCAAAAAGTGCACCTGCTTCTTTCACATGACAATAAATAGTCAAATGAGAACACAAAATGCAAAATACATTGGGACTGCAATCAGTCAAATACCGACTATAAAGAACGCAAAATAGAAATTCTAACTAAACATTCAAGATACCTTTAATCGCTTTGGCAGGTCATGATATGGGTCATAACCCCTGATAACGGAATAACCCGATTTCAAGTATATTCTATATTTTAACCATATTTTTCGTACTAATTTTAGCTTATGTTGATAATTTAAGAAGAAACCATTTTTGGAAAAAATTATCACGTTTTGGTATCACCATCATATGATGTAAGGTATTTTCAGGGTCTTGGCCACTTTTTTCATTTTTTGGCTCTTATTTGACATCTTTGTTTCTAAGGGGGAAGAAAACCTCTTCTTATAAAATTTTTATTTTTCGGAAAAGTGGGGTAGAAAATCATCTTACAGATAATTATCCTCATAGGAATTTATTTAAGTATAGTCCCCACATTAGTATACCCCCAAGTCCACTTTCCCAACCAATGTGTGGTCAGAAACGAAAATTTTGTATTCTATTGAATGTGTAACCCCCAAGAGAATATTTGTTGGGAACGTAGATTTGGTATGTACGTCTATATGAAATAAACTCCGAAATGTCAATCTGGGACTCATTCAGTCGGAAATTGTGACAGAAACATAACAAAATACAAAATCATAAAGTAACTTTATTGGATCTCCACCGCACAATTTAAATGACAAACAATTAATGCCCATCTTACTGTAATCGGAGCAAAAGAGTAATTTTTTTGGCTATTCTGACAACATTCTGCCTTCAAGTATGAGGTGGACAAAACTGAATACCACGCAGTACGGTATTTTAAATATTGGAAATACAAATTTCAAATTATAGCTCATTTGAATGCTTTTTACAATATCAAAAATTGAGCTGAATTTTCACATGGGGCTATTATAGATGTTATTTATCATATAGGTATTTAACACTCAAATTAAAGCCTATAGCTGAAAAATAAGATCAGGCTATTCAAAATATCTGAAATCGACGGTAATTATAATTTTTGCCATGAATATTAATTTATATTTAGTCATGGAGTCATTACTCATAATCAAGTCATTACTTATAATCAAAATTGTGCAGCCTACATAAGTCAGATCTGCGATTTATTATGCTTTAAAGACTGGCCGGCAACGCGGACCGGGCTAGCTAGTAATTATTACATAGTTGGAACAGATTTGTTTATAATTTAACATATTAACTAAGTATTCAGTAGATTGCAATATTTCTGGGCAGATAAATATTTTCAGATATTGGGACACATGCCCTGTTGGACATACACTTCCCTAAGAATTGGGATCTGATATTTGCAACCGCTCGGCAATGACAGAGAAAATGTTCCAATGTTTCGTCATCTTCCCCGCATGCCCTGCATA